ATTTATTATACTTGCACAACTTAAAAAATCAAATTTTGTATAATTGAATATGTCTAGTTTATGTTTATCAAAAAAAATTTTTTTTGACAGGGGGTTCCGGACTTTTTATTTTGTTTTTATTTTTTTTTTTATTATTTTTATTCCCCTCCCACTGGACTTTTATTTTTTTATTTTTTTTTTTGTTTAGTTCCGTTTAGTTTCCTTTTTTTTATTTTTATTTTATTTTGTATTTCATTTTTTTTTTTTTTTTTTATTTTTTTATTTTTACTTTTTTTTTCTTTCATTTCGTTATTTTTTTTATATTTCTTTTTCTTTTTCTTTTTTATTTTAGATTTTTTTTTTCTTTTTCATTTTTTTCAAAAAAAATAAAATAAAAAGAATAAAAAAAATGAAAATAAAAATAAAAATAAAAAAAATATTTCCGCGGATATGGCATAATGATTTTTTTTTAATATATCAAAATTCGTTTGTATATATAAAATAAGTAATAAATAAAAATAAATTTTACAAAATTTCATTGCGTACCGTACCGTACTGGTCCTATAATAGGGCTTAGTTATTATAGGACCAGTACAGTACAGTACGAATTTTATAAAATCAGTCTATATCATCGTTATATAATTACTATAGGACCAGTACGGTACGGTACGATGTCAAATTTCAACAAAAATACTGATCTGCAAAATCGTACCGTACTGGTCTGGCGAATCGTACCGTTCCGGTTTTCCGTATACTCTGCAGCGCAGCGATTTTTTTTGATCACCATTTGAATGCGGCCAATCATCACCAAAAAAAAAGAAAATCATTTGCAGAGTTTTTCTCTGAATTTTTGAATTTTATTTCGGGTTCGATTCTTTCGGGATGCACAACATAATGAACATTATTTTCTTGTTTAATATAAATATATAAAGTAAAGCACTTGACAATTTTATTAATAAAGATATATAATAAATTATTTTATCAAATCACGATACATGATACGACATAAGCCAATTGAAATGCCAATTTGCATTTATCATCTATAAAACCTTCAAATATTTACAAAGCGTTCCGCGTTCATCATATTCCATGACAACAAATATTTTTCAATTGATCATTTTTATTTTCTAACTAAAAAATAGATTTTAGTCTTTTAAAATTAAATTTAATCTTAGTGGAAAATTTATCATTACTTTCTTGATCGGATTTAAACGAAAAATAATATTATCATTGAAATCAACATCACGATGAAGTTTAAACTAAAACCAACTGTTAAATCTTTTAATTGCATATATTGCGAAAGTTAAAAATATGCATTATATTTAATCATTAACTCATCAACAATTTCTTTAAATGCGGTGTTTTCGATGTTATGAAAAGATTTCAATGCAAATTAATTATGAAAAATTTTCCAATTTGCACGAAAGACTTTTCCGAAACTTCCAATTTATTGAAAGTTGTTAAAATGTTTATACTCGTAATATTTGAAACGATTTTTAGATATTTCTTCTATCCACTACATTTAAATTATTGTCGAATTGTATTTTGATATTTTTAAAGAAATAATTTTGTTTTATAAGGAGGAATTTCTTTGAGAAATGTAAAATAAAATCATTAATTAAATCATGTATATAAGGACAAATAAACATTGTTCATACATTCGATCACTTACATAAAAACGTTTATTCTGAATAAATATTTAAAAAAGAGTGGACTCTGGATTACAAAAAAAAAAATTAACTTATATTTGAATTCAAATAAAAATACTGCGCTAATGAATTATTTGGACTCAATATACTGAAGTTAGGACGATGTTGTTTGAATAAATCATTTCTTATATTCTTTATTTTAATGCTATAATAACCAGACATTACTAATTTTTGAATTTATATGATAATAGGATTTAATTTAATATTGGATCACAAACAGACAAGTATTTTAAAATTAATCAATTTTAAAAATTTATTTATCTATCAAATACAGTAATTTTTAGTTGAATTGAGCATATTATGCTTATTAATTATTATCGTTAATGCCACAGATAAACAATTAACGTTCGTCGAAAATTTAATTTGTAAAAAAAAAAAAAAATAATTATATAAAAATTTAATGTCACGTGAGGGTTCGCATAAACGAAAGCCTGTCCTAATTAATAAATTTTACGTAATTCATTGTAAATTTACTTTAGATTAATTTTTATGGATCATCTTAAATAAAAAGGATCTTGTTCATGGTTGCTTTGATTATAGGTAATATAATAATTATTTTGATTATAAGTATAATGAACATTTTGAGGGATTGGTAACGTTTGTTGCCCATAAGTATTCGCAGATATGGACATGTTCTGCTCACGAGTGTGAGATGGAATCATACTTCGCCCGCTATATGGAATCATTCCTTGCTCATTATTATTAATCCTTTCAGGAGGATACCCATGGGTGTAAGCGTTATCAGAAGGTGGGGTTTCTGGAATCATTCCTGGCTCATAATTATTCCTTCGAGGGGGTCGTTGTCCATAAGTATTATCAGGAGTGATTGGCATGATATTCTCATGGTTGTCACTTTCCCACCTATTACTTTTCCATCTATTATTTTCCCTTCTATTTTTATTCCATCTATATAAATAAATTACACTGTATGCTACAAAAAATCCAACAGCTATCGCTATACCAATTACAGCTGATTCATTTAAATGCGTTGTTGTTGTTTGTGTTGGAGAAGCGGTTGGCTGCACTGTTGAAGGTTTGGTTGGAGAATCTTTTGATGTAATTTTAGGAGAAGGACCATTTATTGGATCAATTGGATCTGTTGGATCAAAATTGTCTGTCCATATATATTCTTCATTATCACTAATGTCAAGCAATAAAATATCATTATCTTCATAACCTTGACCTATTGAGTTTAATATATAAATTATTTCTTATGTAACATTCAAATTTTTTTAATATTTTATGATCAAATTGACACACTCGTATACATACCAAATGATACAACCATATATTTTCCAATTACGTTCGCTTCATGCCAACGTCTGGGACTCGGAATTTTTCCAGAAATTTTTGGAATGTACCACTCGTAATTTATTAAATTTAATACGTAAAGCGCATTTTGAGATTGAAGATTTTCGTATTCCTTTGCCCCTCCGAAAATTATGACTCGTTGTCCATCCAATCCTTTATTAGAAGAATATATATCGATATACATATCATAATTAATTAAAATTTAAAATAATTATGACGTTATATAATATAATACCTACCAAGAACAACAGAAAAAGAATTTCTGTTTGAAGGTATTTTTCCTGAAGTTTTCTACGCAAAATTTAATATAAGTATATCAGCTGTTAAAAATCTTTATAAAGCGAACTCACCTTTGTGCTCCAATTATCATCAATCGTATCATATAGGTATACCTAAAGTTTCATTGATTGTTAAATATATAAACTTTCAATTTCTAATTATTTCAATTAAAATTCACCTCTTTTAATGATAAAGCATCTTTATCATAGCCACCTAAATAACAGTAATTTATAAACAAGGCAATTGATAACAGATTGTAAAATATAATTGCTATAAAATTATTTGCTTACCAATATAAATAATTAAATGATCCGAGATGAGGGTTGAACCAAAAACACATCTTGGAGAAGGCGCGTTAATTGAACTTCCTATTTTCCAATCTAGATTTATTGTATCGAAAATAATCATATCATTTCGATAATCATCAACGCTAGTATGTCCACCAAACAAATATATTTTCCCGTTATCATCAATAATGCCTTTTAGGTTATCTTTTCTGCCAATAGTGACATCAGACATTTTTGGAATATTCCATGAATAACTTCGAGCGTCAAATGCATAAATTAAAGCCATTGTTTCAGTATTATCATAAGGCATTCCTCCATATAAAAACAAGGTGTTATTCTTTGCACCACCTTTAACGGATGCAGCAGCCAAATGTGCTGGAATTATATTAATGCTTGTTAAATCGTGCCATAATATATTTTGAGTATTAAATGGGACAGAGACGTCTAAATAAAAAAATTCTCTTCCGACTCTTCTAGTACCCAGTTCATCAAAACCACCTAAGATATATAAATTACCATCAATAAGTGTGGACGTATGACTGGATCGTTTTGTTGGCTTGAGCACATTTTGACAATTTATTTTAATTAGTAATTGAATTAAAACCCAGAAGATGAATATGAAATTATTCTTTGACATAATTAAATAATTAAAGATAATTACAGTAAAGAATTAATTTTGCACAAAAATAGAATATGTGATAATTAACGTTGTAATACATTGCTGATAACAAAAAATATTTCGCAATGCGCATTTAATTTAGTGTAACATTGTACGTCGGCAGAAACTAAAAACAGAGAAATAATAAAAACAAATTTTTGTTTATTTACAAGATATCGCCTTTTTATCTTTTTCTGTTTATCACGAAAATTTTTTTTAACTATATTTATGTAAGTTTATAAGTTTTCAAAATTTCAAACTTTGGCGGTTTTTTCGTATGTCGGTGCCGATCTTCAATGGTCCTGGGATTTATTTACGCCACTCAATTTTTTTTAATGTTTTAAACATCACGCATGACTTTTATAAATTTCGGTACCCACTGATAAATTCCATTTATGTTTTAGATTATTTTTAACAGTAATTGTTCGATTGCGTTGCTGCGCAAAAGTGCAATTCTAAATAATGATTATTAAGCCAAATAAAGTTTATTACAATAAACCTTTAAATAGCGAATTTCTGAAATTTTAAATTGAACGGTTCAAAGCTTTAAAATTCACTTTTAATATCAAGTTTCAACATGAATTTGAAATAAAAGAGTTCGTTGAATTTTCAAATTATAAAGTATAATAATTTAGACGAAGAAATGTTAAAGTATTAATTTTCTCTATAATTACACTATCAACAATCGTTATTATTTTTGATATGTGAGATCTTCGCAATAGAAGTGGCGGAAAAAGCAAATTTAAAATTCATAAATATTTTTTTGATCGAGATATGCTACTAAATAATTTTTTTCTCTCACGATAATTTTAGTTACATTGTAGATCAGCTGTCACGAGGTTTTCAAGTTTCTTATCCTAGGAACAATATAAATATAATTGCGATCAGATAAGAGCCTCGGTATAGGATCTAGTAACTAAAAATGAATTTATTCAATTTTGATTTTGTCAAAAATATCAGAATAATAAAATAAATAATGTCAATGATCACGAAACTTTGACACGTGATCTAAGGCCACAAGTATCCCTAAACGGTTTGTATGTAAAAAAAATACTTAAAATTAAAATGAAAGAAATTTATTTATGAAATTAATAAAAAAAAGTTCTTTTATATCCATATAATCTATTTAATGTAATTTATTTTCTTTTGCTTATAAATAAAATAAAAAATTACTGATATTTTGCGCATTGTAACATGGTGGATTAGGGGGGCGAAATTCCTCATCGTATTTTTAATTTTAATTGTATAATGCACATAATTTGAACTTTTAAAATGGCGATAATAAATTACATTTTTATGAGTTAATTAATGCACCGAAAATTATATTTTCATGGTATTAATTTTAAGGCAGATCTTTTATCTCCAAGAATTTAAGACGTTAAGACGTTATATTCTAATTTACGGTTATCGGCAATCCTTTAATGTAAAAATTTCAATCCTAAATATAGAACATTTATTTCTATTGATATTTATATGAGATAATAATAAGTTTAAACTTTTAGCAAGAATAAGAAAAAACCATTGATCGAGTGCAACCGCTTTTTAAAGACAATTTTAAAGTGATCGACGAATTGCATGTACTGAACCTTAAAAAATGACAACGATAAATAAACATTTTTTTTTTTTTATAACAATGTCGAACAGTAACAAAAAAGAAAAGCATTATATATAAGTTTAAAAATATATTTTAAAAGAAAGGAATTACTATATCAATCCAGCAAATAGAAAATCATACTTTATCCTGATCGCCGTTTATTAAACATTTCAGTAATGGCGTAGTACTGAACACAACCTAAAGGTTTGTAACGCTCCACATCATTGCTCGACTTTTCATTTCTTGTATCTCGTGACTAAATAAATTAATTAGTTGATGATTCTTATAACGTGCCCATCATGAACGGTTAGCATATATTTTTACGGCTAAATATCAAAATCTAAGTAACTCCGCTGAATTTATGGTTAAATTTCTAATGGACGAAACCAACACAACGTTTTAAGTGATAAATGAAAAAAGAGAAGGTCGGTGGTGGGTCAGACCAGATTCAATCAAAAGAGAGTCTGACATCCCAAACAGATACCATAGGAATAGTATTATCCTGCTAAGGCTTACTCTCGTGCTTCAGAGAAATTAGGCACATAGAAATACACAGTCTCAAGAGGATAATCCCACCAAGAGACACCACCAAGACTTAGGACATGACAGTGCTTTTACTATGCACCCCTAGACCCCACAAAGTTAAAAACAGACAAGTGACAAATTCGAATGACACCCACCTAAAATAATAGCTTGATACTTCAAGTTGCTTGTCATTCAAAGATTCAAAACCACTTTCGTCCACAATAAAGGAGATCTTTGTGTTTTACCGTACCATTGAATCAGAAACAAATAAGCTTTGAGTTAAGTGATATTTCTGATGTGAGGGACTTTTAATAAACAAAACACGAAAAGACGGTTGGTTGACAGGTCGATTTGGAAAATTTACAATCACAGATTACGTATGTTTTTCTTTACGAACATGCGAGTAAAAATCTCGAAATGATATTATGTAAAATAAATTTATTGTAATAAATGCGAAGAAGACTGATTTTGTCAAAACTTAAGAGAGAGAGAAATAAATAAACCGAAAATGTTTACACGTACCGGTACATTTTAAGGCCAGAAATGACGTCATTATAAATTTTGACTTGCGTCAATTCCATTTAAGGAAATCATAATTACGTAATAATTCTTAGTTTATTAACAGAGTTGAAATTGATTTTTTCATTTGCTTTCTTTAAATGCTCAATGCCCGCTCTTTTTTTTTTTTTTTGTAATTCTTGAATTCAAGTTTATTATTAAAAGTTGATGTTTTCAATATCTTGGAAATTTTTAGAGGTTTTATTTAGTTGCTTTCAAACTATCATTTATTTTAAATACTAATTAACACGGATGAGGAAGATTTGTAAGAATAGTAATTTTGCTTTTTTTTCTTTTATTTAAAAATTTATTTAAGTGCTCGCTTACATAAATCTAAATTTTTAAATTAATCTTTTTAGTGATTTCCAAAGAAGGATGCTAACGGTCACAATATTTCCATTAAAATATAATTTGTAAAGCCTCGATTAGAATCACTTCTCGATCTGCTGCGGTAAGCTTTTTTTTCTTCGTTTTAATAGATACTGTATCTAATTATCATAAATATTTTTGATAAATAATAATTTTTTACTTGGCACATTATTTATTTTTTTTTGGTGACTATGCGCTTTCAATTTATGATAAAAAAATCGCTGCGCCATTAGAATCGGCGATTAATCGATTTAAAATCTTTTCTATTTTTTTACGACTTGGGCTGCATTGGTAATGTATTATTAGAAATTCTGGTTTGATCGCGTTGGGTTTTTTTTTAATTTCTTTTGTTTCCTTTTATTTTGAGTTTTTAAATTGTCAGGTTCAAGACGCCGATTCTTTATTTTTTTTTTTTTAGAATTTGTTGTTTTAGACTCCTCTTTCGGGGGTTGGTTCGCTTTTTTTGATGAGATGGATCGAAATATTACGCTTCAGGCTCCCTAGTTCTTTTATAACAAAGCAGAAACCAAGGATTCACTGTCACAATGTAAAATAATTTTTAGAAAGTTTTTCGATGGCATTATATCCAAATGATCAAAAATATTATAATTTCCTAAAATATATTGGGTTGAAAGTTGATTTAGTCTAATAATATCAAAAATTAAAATGAAATAAAAATCAAAATTTTGTTAAAAAATTCTCAGAGCCTGATTTTCCTAATAAAATATATGATTTTTATTGTTATTCCGCAATTTTTAGATTAGCAATTGAATTTATGAAAAATTTGCTATGCTGGATTTAAGATGAAATAATAAATTAATAATTTAATAAATCAATATCAATATATGCCTGTGGGTTGCAGCTCATGTTAATCAAATTATTTGACTGATTCATGATGATACGGATCACAATGAAAGTTTGGATAAGTCAAAGGTATTCATTCTATTCGTTTCAAATAGGGATATTAAAAAGTCCTATGGGACTAGGTCCTATGAAGTTCAAAGTTTTTTGTACTATAGGACTGTGGTCCTATATTAATTGGAACTTGCGGTCCTAGAACTACAGTCAATATTAAAAAGAAAATTCTAGATGAATCGATCAAGGAAGAGTGATTGAAACGTTGTAATTCTTGATCGTTCTAATTGAACGATACATCATCGTTCTCGAACGATTATGGTTAATTTATATTTAGTAGACCGATATTTATATATTATTAAGACCGTAGTTCTCGAACCTCTGCAGTCCCGGGATTTGGTCATAGAATCCAGTTCTATAACCCAATTCCTATAGGATAGGGAGTTGGACCAGACCGGATTTTAACATCCCTAGTTTCAAAATATTTGTAGGTTATCCCAATTAAAAAAATGAATTAATACATTTCTTTTCATATAATAGATTGTTTATGTTATATATGAAAGATTATAAAGTTATATGAAATTTAACTTATAATCAATTCTCTAACTATATTCACATTCTATTACAGGCAGAGCAATATTTATACTCGGTAATAAGGAACTTTTATCAAAAAAGATGTAATTCCTGATATACGTTTGTTTAACAACATTTTCAGTGAAATTCGCGTGACTCTTTTTACTCTTAATGGGACTTTTCGTCAAAATAATGCACAAATTAATTATATTGGTTTGAAAGAAATTCATAATAAAAAAAATTATCGTGCTCACCAGCATGATGTAGACGATCTTGTTTTTAATATTTTTTGTGATATCACGGAGTTTATATGAAAATTAGCTATACAATAACGATAATTTATTTTA